ACAGATGTTTAAAAAGAAATTTCTCCCTGCTTTGTTGTGGAAATGAGCCCTTTGCCATCCTAACCACAGAGCTGCCTGTTAGCTCTGTGTGGCATGACAAAGCATGTGGGCTGGTGTAAGTGTTGCCCTGTAAGGCACAGAACAAAGACCACAGAACACTTTGAACAACCAGCTGTATCTCTGCTGCGTGAGGGAGCTTGGGACATGCATGTTATGCCATGTGCGTGTTTGTGGACCTCAGTGCTCTGAAGTCACTCCCTCCTCTCTGTTCTAAAATGATCTTTGGGTCTCTTCGAGGCTTTTCCTCTTCATGTCCTCAGGCATGCCAAAAGTTTTGCAGGCTCCTTTTGCCCTCTCAGCTGTTGTGCCTGTTTGGCCATCCCAGATTCGAGATGTGATCCTGGCAGTGCCTTCAGCTTGTGTGCACTGTGAAGCTGGTGGCAGGTTGCCAGCTGCAAAGACTGGCTAGTATCACCTGCAGGGCAGAGTTCCTTAAAATAGAAGCCCTGTCTATTTTAAGCCATTAGAGCATATATCAGTGTATTGGGGTCTTCAGCGTGGAGCAGGCTTGGCAGGGGGGGGCATCAGACCAAATGCCAATCCCATTGCATGGGCACTGCTGGCTCCCAGGGAAGCCCTGCTGTTGTACCACAGAAGAGCAGCTGTGATGCTCTTTGCCTGTTGCTGAGGAGAGGATCCCACCTCTGGGTTAACACTGCTTGCAAGAGATTGCTGTAGGAGGTTGGCCTTTCAGAGATCTATCTACCTTACAGCATCACCACCTTGTCAGGTATATTAAAGAATTAAGTGCTATTGTAATGAGGATTTGTTTCCTGGAACATCACTTTCCCAGAAATTACAGAATTGTAATGTTTCAACATGCACCTTGGGATGCTGCATTGCTGCCACAGAGCTTCCTTGGGCTGCCTGTTTCTAATACCTGTGCCTCAGAACAGCTTATGTTGACCCTTTGGGAGCCATGCTAAAATAAGCAAGCCTGTGCTTCCTCCCTGCTACAAGCATTGTACAACAAATCCCCTCAGCACTTTGTTTTCAGAGATACTTTGTGTTTGTTTGTTTTTTAGCCTGCAGGAGTCGATTTTGACTCAGGTACAGAGAGTCATTAAAGGAGAAGTGAGCCTGGCAATGAAGGAGCAGCAAGCAGCTGTCACTTCGAGCATTGTTCAGGCAATGCGTTCAGCTGCAGGGACTCCCATCCCCTCCACTCACCTGGACTTCCAGTCTCAGCAAACTCACATCATTCAGCTGCTCCAGCAGGGCCATCTCAACCAAGCTTTCCAGCAGGTACGTGGCCTTCCTTGCAGTGGGCAGCATTGCTTTTTAGAGGACAGAGTGAGGGGGAAGCAGCTCCTTAAGGTGGAGGGCATAAGTGCTGAAAAGACCTGTAGCAGCAAACAGCTCAGGGGGATCGTTTGCACTCACACAGGTCAGGCCAGAGCCATGCACATTCTATGATTGGTGGCACTGAAGTTCCTTCTTCCTTATCATGTCAGGACAGCATCAGTGCTGCAGTAAGGCAGTGACTTTGCCATGAGCAGCAGCACATGGTGCACCCCTGAAGTGCAACAGCTTCGTAAGCCTCTCCGGGCAGATCTGCCAGCTGGGACCTGACCTTGGCTTTGCCTTTGAATATGCAGACAGATTCATTTGAGCTGCTGCAGACAAACTCCACTGAGAATAGAAACAGTGCTGTGCCACTGAGCTACAAGCATGGCCCCGCTTCATGCTGCCGATGAACCTGGTCCCCTGTGCCTGGCTGTGAGCTGAGCTACCTGTCTGCTCAGCTTAGAACAGACACGGGTGTCTTCTTAGTGTAGACACAGCCTACACACAGTCCTGTCTGCACCAATGGGATTTGCTGAGCTTTCTGCTAGCAGAGGCTGGCGAGCCATCGAGCTGTCCCATGCTCTGTCCCATGTCCTTCACCTGCCCGGTGCTTCCTCGGCATTTATAGCTGTGTTTTCCTTGCAGGCTCTAACAGCAGCTGATCTCAACCTGGTTCTGTATGTCTGTGAGACTGTGGACACGCAGCAAGTGTTTGGCCAGCAGCCGTGCCCGCTGTCCCAGCCTGTGCTGCTCTCACTCATTCAGCAGCTCTCCTCGGACTTGGGTACTCGTACGGAACTGAAGCTGAAGTGAGTATGGTTGGACACGTGGATTTGAGTCCCTATAGGTGTATGGCTGGCTCTCAACTTGCTCTGTGTAAGCAGAACCTTTCTTCTAGGAAGGCTGCAGCTTCTTGGGGCTGTTAGTAGTAAGTGAAATCTGTGTAGTGATGCCTTTAACCAAGGAAACGTTGCCACGTGGAGTTAACAGGAGGGGGGTAGTGCTGTGCTCCCTGGGTAGCTCAGTGCTCAGAGCTGGAAGCTTTGCCTGCAATTCTGAACGAACCCATCACTGTATTCAGTGTTGTCTGTTTCCAGGCACGGCTGCCAGAGATGCTCAGTGGGAGCTGTCAGCAGGAGCCACGGGAGGCACTGTCTGTTGGGTGTTCTGAGCAAAACACACGTGCCTGTGCTGACACATGTGCCACCAGCATTTTAAGACTGAGAATCAGAACCCTTTTAGCTGCCCTGGAAAACAAACTTTTTATGGTACCTGCAGGGTTTGGTAATGGCATGTTTGGAAAATATCTCAGCACTGAGTTAGAAGGATAAAGGTAGTTCACGCTAGAAAGAAAGGAGAGCTATAAGTTACAGGAGAGCTGGTGAGTGGTTACAGTGGCTGCAGGCTGAAGTGTAGGCTCTTCTCCCACACCTCCCTGGATAGGAAGAGAAGACCTTAAACATATCCTTCTGAATAAGCCTCAGTGCTGTGAGTTTTACTGTCTGCCAAGTGCCTTCTGCTAAAATGCCATCAAAGAAAATATACACAGAGCTCTGCCCAGGTGTGCTCGCGTGCTGCCTCAGCACTGCAGTGAGGCCCCTCTTGTAGCCAGCTTCGTTGCAGGTCCTGCAGCCTGTGAATGGGGCTGCAGCACAGCAGAGAGCTCCACTCTGCTCCCGTTGAGCATTTTCTGATGACTGAACTTAAGGCACTGCTCCATACAAGAGCAGAGCTGTGCCTCTGCAGTGCTGAGATGGATGGAATTGGCGTGGGCTCAGGCGCTTTGTTTGGTTCTAACCCATCTTTCTCCCCTGCAGTTACCTGGAGGAGGCCGTGATGCACCTGGACCACAGTGACCCCATCACCCGGGACCATATGGGGTCAGTCATGAGCCAGGTGCGGCAGAAGCTTTTCCAGTTCCTCCAGGTGGAACCTCACAACACGCTGAGCAAGCCTGCACGCCGCCTGATGATCATGCTGCAGGGCCTGGTCACTCCTGGCATGACCTAAGGGGGGGCTGCCGGGTGCTCTGGGGAGCCCCCTCCCCTGGCTCCCATAGTTCCTCACCACCTATGGCTTGTGTTAAAGAGCTCTTGCCAGGAAATCTATCAACTCGTGTGTAATATCTCTAAGGCAAACGTCACCTGCGTGTAGTCCCAAATAGTCACTGAAAGCTCACTTGGCTTTGTAGTCCTCAATAGCCTCTTTGGAGAGGTGGAAGTCTCTTTTCCGCCCCCTCCAGCTGATGCCAGAGGGTTTCTCACCCCTTTGCTTTGGAGCCCGCTGCCATCAGCAGAGGAGGGAGGAGGTGGGCGAGGGTCGTTCGCAAGGAACAGGTCCCTGTGTTGAGTCAGGGGCTCAGAGCCATCCCTGTGGAATTGCTCCAGGTGTGGTGAGGGGGGGGAGAGGGTAGCAGCGAGATGAGGGGAGTGGGGGCAGTTATCAACCCTCAGCATCGCCTGTGGGCGCTCCAGTGGGGGCTGTTCCGGTGGGGGTGGGAGCTCGTTCCTGGTTCAGCTGTTACTTTGGATTTTACACCCAGGGCGCACGGGGTGGGCAGGGGAGGGCTGGGAGGGCCGAGGTTTCTTTTTATCTAAATTTCGAATTTTTTTTTTTTTTTTTTTTTTCGGTCGTAACGTTCAGAACAATTCAATAAATAACTTTTTTTGGAGAAAAAAAAAACCAACCAAACAAAAAAACCCAAACAAACCTCGCGATCCAACTGTCTGAGAACGAAGTGCTTGTAGCGGGGAGGAGCTCCGTCCCCTCCCGCAGCATCGCAGGGGGAGGCGGGGCTGGGGGCGGTGCGCCGGGATCGGGACTGCGCGGGGAGCGGAGCGCTGCGCACACGGAGCGGCGGCGGTGCGGGACGCTCCGCACCATGGGCTGCGGCTGCGGGCGGCTGCTGGGCGTCGTGTGCCCGCTGCTGCTGCTGCTGCTGCACATCGGTGAGTGCCGAGGGGAGGGGTGGGATGCCGGGGTTGCTGCTTTGAATCTTGTCCTCTCGTTTCTCCCGCTGCGGGGATGGATGTGGGGAATGGGAGATCCCTGAGGCGGGCCAGCCGGAGCCGCGCTTGTGCCTCTTCTCCATCTCTTCTTGCTCCTTTCTCTGCTCCTTTCTCCTCTTCTATCTCTCACGGCATCCCCCCGTTTCCCTCAGTCACTCAAAGCCAAAGCCACACTTTTGCTTTTCCCCCATCTCTTCCTCCTCCCTTTTCCCTCCTTTCTCTCCCCCTCTTTTCTTTCTCTCCCCCTTTCTCCTATCTCACTTACAGCATCCCCCCATCTCCCTCAGTCACTCAAAGCCGGAGCTGCACTTGTGCTTCTCTCCCCTTTCCCTTTCCTCCCCCTTTCTGTCCTCCTGCCCTTCTATCTCTCTTAGAGCATCCCCCCTCCTCGCTCAACCACTCAAAGCCTTTGCTTTTGTTTGCCGTGCTGTAGTCACAAATTAATCTGTGCTGTTTGGGGATAAGAGGGACGCACAGATGGCTCTGGAGCAATCCTAGAAGGCTGGGAATGAGGGTCCATGCAGCAGACACTGTAATTCCCGGGGCTGTGAAGGAACTCAGTCCCACTCCATGCATGGATGTGAGCCCCTCTGCTTCGGGTCCCCAGCAAGGGCTGCTTTGTTCCGTAGAACCTCGGAGTCATGAAGGTTGGAAGAGATCTTTAATAACCCACCCTCGCTGTGCCCACATCCCCTCCTTTACAAACCCAACATTTCTATTGCTTTCCTGCTTGCATGCTGGACCCACGGACACGCTGCTGGCTCTGGTGGGTTGTGCCACACCGTGAGCCCAGCGGGTGCAACCTGGCGATGGGGCTCAGCTCCATTCCTCCATCCCCCCCCTGCAGCCGTCGCTCAGGAGCCCATCAGCACAGCAGGGAAGTGCAACACCATCTACAAAGGTTTTGCTGGCTGCCTCATCAGCTTGGGGGACAGCATGGCCCAGAGCATGCGGCAGCAGCGGGACGAGGAGGAGGAGGAGGGCGGCCAGGAGGCGCAAGAATTGGACACCATCTGCAGGTGAGCCACCCCGTCCCCGTCCCCCGATCCTGGGTGCCGCCACCACCCTGATGCCCATCCCTATTTCCAGGTCCTGGGATGAGTTCCACGCTTGTGCCAGCGGGGTTCTGTCCCGCTGCCCCGAAGAGGCTGCAGCCATCTGGGAGTCTCTACGCCAGGAATCCCGCAAGATCCAGTTCCAGGGAAACCTGCAGGAGCTGTGCAGTGCTCGGGGCCGCCTGGCCAGCTCCCAAGGCTCACCGCCTGCTGAGACCAACCAGGCCACGCTGCGGGGCTCGGCCCGCCACGGTCACCCCGGCATCCTGCCCCTGCTGGCCCTGCTGCTGCTGGGGGTTTGGGCATAGGGCTGCTCTCAGCCAAGGACCCGCCGTGCACTGCGCTAGGGGTTCAGCCTTGGGTCCCCGCTGACCTCAGTGTGGGCACAGGTTGAGCCCCAGCCCGACCCCTGCAGCCCTCACCTTCTCCTGGAACCCTTCAGATGGATTTATATTTATATTAAAAGATGCTTTTACATTTCTCCAGCCTCTCTGCTGTACGGTGCCCTCGCTCCCTTCCCAACCCCGTGTGGCTCAGGGTGGCCTCGTGTTGTCCCCTCCTGGCACCCGGGGAACCCCCATATCCTCATTGTGTGGCACACCCAGACATCCCTGAGGGTGCTAAGAGCTTTGCAGGGATTTCACCTTCCCGGCAGGGCCAGAGCGATGCAATCAATCTGCCATCTCACCCAGGGGAGCCCAAATGCCCAGCCCAGCTTTGGTTCACCACGGTGCCCCATTGCCATCCACAGCACCGTGCAATTCTCTGCAGAGATTCCCATTTTCTGTCTCTCTGATTCCAATCCCGCTATGTTTGGTCCTGTTTGTGGTCATGAAGGAAATCGGGGTATGTAGGGAGGAGAGTATGGTTGGGTGTGGGTTTTTTGTCTTCTGTTTTGATGATCTGTTATAGCTGAAGTAACTTTATCTGAATGTCTCCCCCTTATAGCGAGACATTCAGCTCTTGCTGTCCACATCAAACCAGGGAAAACTATTTTGTCTATTTCCTGCAGGAGCTGAAAAGCTCTTCCTGCAGGGCCCTCTGCTTTGGCAGAGCTTTATCACAGCGGTGATGGACACGGCCTCAGTCAGTGCTGGCAGCTGGCAGTCGAGCATCTGCTGTGCTTAAAGCTCTTTGAGGACAGAGGTGGTGTTCCCAGCACTGCTGGTTCACACAAGCCTGGCACGACCTGCTATTAATTCATAAAAACGAGGCATTGTGCAGGAAGGACGCAGCCCAGGGCAGAGTGCTGCCCTGACACTCCTTGCACGGCAGCTGCCGCTGTCCGTGTTTAACGCTGCTGCCAGGGGATAATCTGCCTATTCTTCCATTTCCAATTTCTGACAATCCTGTGTTTAAGGCTGAATTAGTGCTGGGATGGCTAAGAGGATCAGCGTTGGGCTGGCGGCTGCCACCTCTGGGGGGCAGCTGGAGGTGGCTGGGGGTTGGAGGAACGCTGAGGTGGTGCTTGTTCCCTCCTTTGAACACCCTCTAATAGCTTCATGTCCTTCTCGTGCTGTGGTGCTCAACAGAATCACAGAATCACAGAATCACAGAATCACCCGGGTTGGAAGGGACCTCAAGGATCATGTAGTTCCAACCCCCCTGCCTAGCAGGGCCACCAAACACACACATTCAGATCAGGTTGCCCAGGACCCCGTCCAACCTGGCCTTAAACACATCCAAGGACGGGGCATCCACAACCTCCCTGGGCAGCCCGTTCCAGGGCCTAACCACTTCTCCATTGCTGGTTGGTGAGGTTGCACACATATCCTCAGTTGGCTCACAGATGTGTGTGTGGCACAGCAGGGCTATGGGGTGGCTTTAGGAATGGGGCTTTGCTGGCTACGGTAGGCTTCATCCTGCCCTGGGGCTGCCACAGTGAGGAACAGACAGAGCTCCATCTGCCTGCTGGCTTTTGCCTTTCTCTGGCCTTGGAGGAGGGCTGTGGCACAAGCCTGCATTCAGGAGGGGCTCAGGGATTCCTGGTGAAGGCAGAAGGCAGTCCTGCAGCTGTGTCCTATGGCAGGTGGGGCATACAGAATCATAGAATGGCCTGGGTTAAGAAGGACCACAGTGCTCATCTGGTTCCAACCCCCTGCTGTGTGCAGGTCGCCAACCAGCAGCCCAGGCTGCCCGGAGCCATATCCAGCCTGGCCTTGAATGCCTGCAGGGATGGGGCATCCACAGCCTCCTTGGGCAACCTGTTCCAGTGCCTCACCATCCTCAGTCCTGCCCTCTGCGCTTCACAGCCACTCACTTGTTGTCCTTCAAATGACTGCATGAAGCTGAGACCACACAGTTAGGCTTCGTCCCAAGCTGCTTAGCTTGGGAGAGCTCTGCTTGGGCACAAGACAAATTTTCCCCCTAAAATAGAGAACACACAGCATGACTGGCTCATCCCCAGCGCCATGTCCCCATCCTTTCCATCCCACCCTTCCCTTTTGCTTTTAAACCCCAAACACAGCCCAGCAGGTGGGTTCCTGCAGCAGTGCCATCCGTGCTCTCCGGGCGCCTCCGCGCGTCGTGAAAACCCATCGCTCCGGTTATGAAACTCCATTGACCTACTTCGCACTCCCTGCTTTTGTTCTTAATTCCCAGATATGGCCGCTCTCCAGATTTTGCCCATCAAGGCAAATTAATTGGAGTCGATCCTAATTTGCTCTCTGCTATTCTTTGGGCAGAAGATTAAATGCTCGGCAGACATTATCTCCCTCTCTCTTTTCTGAGAGACGAACCTGAATTGTTATTATTTTTAAGGGAAGGGGACAAGGGAAAGCTGAGCATAGATTCACTTTTTTTCAGTCGCAGAATGGGATGGAGATGTTCCTGCATCCCTGGGCAGCCAGAATCAGATGGTGACAGTGCTCTGGGCAGCTGTGTGACAGTGACAGTGCACGTGGGATGGCAACTTGAGGGCCAACGTGTTGGCCATGCTGCCTGCTGCCTCCACCACGCCATGGTCTGCTCCCCCTTTCCTTTGCCAAAGGAAATCGCTAGTGGCAGAGGTACAAGGGGACTCTGTGACACCTTCTCCTTTGTGCTGATGCTTTCTAGCTGCTCTCCTGCACACTCCAACTGGTCTCAGGGCTGGAGGACATGGTGCTCTAGGGCTGCCAAAAGTCAAACTTTCCAACGGGGCACAGAACAACCTCAATCCCTACGGATCGACTGCAGCTGAACAGCTGAGCTGGAGTCACCTCTGTGCTCAGCCCTCAGCCTGGCAGCCCTTCTGCGCTCAGCTTTGGGGCTTTTTTTTTGGATTTCTTTTCCTAAGCAGATTTAATTGAACATCCTCTTGCTCCGACCTCTGCTCGGCCTTGCTGGGACAACCTTGAGCTGGTTGCCAAATGGATCCGGGGATAACCTGTCCCTCGGTTTGTGTCCTTTGAGGCTGAGCTCCTGCACCCTCCTCCTTGTCCCTTCATAGCCTCAGGAGTGGAATGAGGCTCTGGAGTGTGTCTAGAGAAGGGAGTGGAGCTGTGAGGGGTCTGAGTGCAGCCCTGTGGGAGCGGCTGAGGGAACGGGGTGGGTCTCAGTGTGGAGGAGTCCGTAGAGCTGCAGCCCTGACAGGAGGACGTGGGGACGGGTTCAGCCTCTGCTCCTGGGTGACAGCGGTTGGGTGAGAGTGACAGCATCACACTGATGGCATCACACCGAGGTTCAGGTTAGGTATTGGGAACAATGACACAGCTGCCCAGACGTCCTCTTGGCTCTGGTGATTCTCCACAGCACAAACGATCCGAGAAAGCGACGTTCCGATGGAAGTTTTCCGAGTCCCATAGGCTCAGACTCGTGCGCCCACCGCTCCGGAGGCCGCCGACAGGGGGTGCTAGAGCGCGGGGCGGTGGCACAGTGCACACGTTGCCCCGCCCACCGCCGGCTCTCCACCAATCAGCTTTGCTTCCGGCGCATTGTGATGACGTCAGGAGGCGGTGCCGGGCCGCGGGTCGGAGCGGGTGGAGGTGAGTGCGGGGCTCGGCCGTCGAGCGGACCCGTCGTTGTCCCCTCGGGTCCCTTCTGCTCCTCCGGGCCTCAGAGCCTGCAGAGCCTCCAGAGGCGGGCAGAGGCCCCGGGCAGGGCGTCGGAGCTGACGGGATCGCGTAGCCCCGCGCCGTGCGGCCGCCTGCGGGCCCCTCGGTGCGCTCGGAGGGCTGTCGCGGCGCGGCTGTGGGCCGGAGCCGCTCGCCCCGCGGCGCTGTGCCTTCCTTGGTGGGCCTCAGCGGAGAAGTGCAGCTGCAGAGCTGTGAGGGGCTTGGTGGTATCGTAGGGGCCCACGAGTAGGTCGAAGAAAGGCTCTTTATCAGGGAGCGTACTGACAGGGTGGGGGGTAATGGCTTTAAACTGAAAGAGGGCCGGTTTTGATTAGATGTAGGGAAGAAATCTTTCCCTGTGAATGCGACGAGGCCCTGGCACTGCTGCTCAGAGCAGCTGGGAATGCCTTGTTTCTGGAGGTGTTCAGGGCTGGGCTGGATGGGGCTGTGGGTGCATTGCCCCTGCCCGGGGGCGCTGGGTTTAAGGCCCCTGCGGCTCAAGCTGTTCTGCAGGTCACGGTGCTGCTCTGTTTGGTGGTGGTGAGGCAGCCAGGCCTCAGGTGTGCAGGTCAGGCAGCTGCCACCCCTCCCACGGGGCTGTTCCTGGGTGCATTACTGAGCCATAAGGCTCTGACTTTGCCCAGGGGGCTGGAGGATGCCTGTCTGCCAGCAGGAGCCATGGCACTGCCCTGCCTGAAGAAGGGATCTCTGTGGCACCAAAGCATTCAGCCAGCTCTTTCTCTCACCTGTCAGAGTTGTAATAAAGGCATGCTGACATCTCTTTAGAGCCTTCCGAGTGTGTGGCTTCCTATTCAGAGAGGGGCCCTCATTTCTGTAACACATTCACCTCCCAGCTTATCGGTGATTTCATGTATTTCCTCCCATCCCTCGTGCTGGCCTGTGCCCGCAGGGCAGAGCCATTTCCATGCTGCTGGCTGATCTCTGCTATTAGCAGCAAGATTCATACACAACCACTCCAAGCTCCATGTTGGGGTCTTCTCATTGCTTTTGTTTGCTGCTGGGATTCCTTACACAAGTGCTTCTTGAGGAGTGGAGTTGCTCTGTGACAGTCTTGTTTGCAGATGCTCTCATTCTATTTTTCTGCTAACTTAATATATTTTAGGGTGCAGTGATGCTGGGGGGGAAAAACTGCTTGTGTGAGCTATGATTCAGAAGTAGCTGTAACATTCCATATATTCCTTGTTGCAGTGCTGTAATCTGAACGAGCAGCCAGCTGTAGGACAGCCCTCCATGAATTCAAGTCTCAATTAAGCCATCTGTGACATTGCTTTTTATTTCTGAGACCTGTTGGTGCTTGGTTGGTGTCTGACCTTGTGGTCCTACCAGGGGGTCTTATGTGAGAAGATACTACGCTGATGTCTGATTTTAACGTGGGATCTTAACTAAAGCCTTGCTTTCTTTCCAGTGTGAATGTAGAGCATAAACTTCTTCCTGTTGTCCCTCTAGAACACCTTTTTTTCCCCACATAATTCTGAGGGAAGAGCAGCTGGGGTTCCTGCAGTGCTGAATAGTTGCTTGGAGAAGTGGTGAATGAGTGAAGATACGCTCTGTGATGGTAAGGTGGACGATTGCATCTCAAGGCTAACAGCTTTTCTGTAGTCCTCTGCAAATGCTGTGGCACTGTAATGATGGGCTCTGAGCCAAAGCAGAAACTTAAAACTGCTCTGCTAATTGCCAGAATGCATGCAGGCAGTTTCTTTACCTCCAGATTGTTTTAATCAGGACCTAAAGTAAAGACTTGCTGAAGCACAGCTGATTTGGCTCTGCTGGAGTAGAGTGTGGTGAGCAAGAGCTCTGTTTGCTCCAGTGGGGAACAACTGGCTGAAGTTCTCCTTACTGCAGCAAATTGCAGCTCCATATGGGAAAACAGAAGCTCTGCTCGGTATCTGAAAACACAGAAGAAGGCAAAACTGAGTGAGGCATTAGAAAACATCAAAGCCCACCTTGGTTTCTTAGGGCTTGGAGGATAAGGGAATTGTCAGATAAGTTGCCCTTTAAATCAAATAAAGTTAAATAAAGCCTGGCATTCTGCAGGACATGCAGTGATTAAATTAATAACACGAATTGCAAGAAGTAGCCTGCCTCTGTCTGCATGTTCCTTGCCTTCTGCACAGCTTCACTGATCCCTGAGAGCAAATTAATCAGAGGTTTAAGGCACGAGTACAAGTTAAATGTAAAGAAAACACTAAGATTTGTTGAGTGAACAAGTTGCTGAGGTAGTTTGTGGAGTTTCTAATGAGAAAATAAGCTTCAGGATGGTGAGTGCCGTGCAGAGTTTAGCAGGTGAAACAAAACTCAGGACGATGCTTAACGCATCCCTTGATTTTTATTAAGCTGCTGGAGCTGGGCAGGATGAGCTGCAGGGATCCCTTCCAGCCTCAGCCCTTCCAGCCTCAGCCACTCTGTGCATTCCTGGCTTCAGCTAGGAGGGTTAGGCAAACTGTGCTTAATAAAAGCATGCGGGGGGGGCTACAGTGCAAAACCCTCGGCTCTCAGTTTGTGGTAGCGTTGCATCATTGAGACGTGAACCACCTGCATGCTTTTCTTGGCTTTGACTTCCATTTCTCTGTTTCTCCTCGTTCTTTTTGGAAGGTTCAAACGTGGGAGCTGCTGCAGGTGTGGTTGCTGCTGGCACTGCCCTGGGAAGATGCCTTGATAAGGAATTAACACCCGTCAGTGATGGGCTGTGGGACAAGCAAAGTGCTTCCCGAGCCCCCCAAAGACGTGCAGCTGGATCTGGTTAAAAAAGTAGAACCTTACACGGGCCACAGTGACATCTACAAGCATTTCATCAAAGATGATGGGGCTGTCATCAAAGCTGGCTCTCCCTCACCCCCACGTCACACAAACCCGTTTCCTGGTAACCCCCTGCCTGCCCACCCAGCCCAGCCCGAGCCCCGCAAGAACAAAGTGGCCAAATACCGTGCCAAATTTGACCCACGAGTGACAGCCAAGTATGACATCAAAGCCCTGATTGGAAGGGGCAGCTTTAGCCGAGTTGTGAGGGTGGAGCACAAAGCCACCAAGCAGCCCTACGCCATCAAGATGATAGAGACCAAATACAGGGAAGGGAGGGAGGTGTGCGAGTCGGAGCTGAGCGTGCTGCGCAGGGTTCGCCACACCAACATCATCCAGCTCATAGAGGTGTTTGAGACCCAGGATCGGGTGTACATGGTGATGGAGCTGGCTACTGGGGGAGAACTGTTTGACAGAATCATTGCCAAAGGTTCCTTCACGGAGAGGGACGCCACGCGCGTGCTGCAGATGGTGCTTGACGGTGTGAGGTACCTGCACACCTTGGGTATCACACACAGGGACTTAAAACCAGAAAACCTGCTTTACTACCATCCCGGAACGGATTCCAAAATCATGATTACAGACTTTGGATTGGCCAGTGCTCGAAAGAAAGGAGATGACTGCCTGATGAAAACCACCTGTGGGACGCCGGAGTACATCGCTCCTGAGATCCTGGTCAGGAAGCCCTACACCAACTCCGTGGACATGTGGGCTCTGGGTGTCATCTCCTACATCCTCCTGAGTGGCACGATGCCCTTTGAGGACGACAACCGCACGAGGTTGTACAGGCAGATCCTGAAGGGGAAGTACAGCTACTCGGGCGAGGTGAGTGTGGTGGGGTCAGGATGAGGGGAAGGCCAGCAAGAAGCTCTCTGAGTATGGAGCTGTGTGGTCTGGCTGTCTCACGTAGGGCCGTGTTAACAAGAAGTGATTCTGGCCCTGAAAATCCTTTCTGTCTCCTTTGCTGAACTGCTTCCATTGCAGGGCAGTGAGCTGCCTGAAAAAGTGTGTCTGTAGAAAGACCTCACTTCCTCCAGAACAGAACTGCAGGGGCTGACAGAGCTGTGCTGCTTGCAGGCAAATATCTGGGGAGCTACTGAAACTCGTGCCAGGGTGTTTGAAATGTAGGAGGAAATCAAACCAGGGATGTGCAGATAGAAATCCAAGTGTAGTCTGAAAAACCTTTTGCTGAAACATAAAGCTGTGGCAGACAAAGGCCTAAAGAGCATTTCTGAAATGAGTCTGTGCTGCCTCCTGAGCTGAGTACATAACAAAACCGAGGATAGAAGGATGGCTTCCTTAAGTAACTCTGGAAAAAGGATCCATAAGGGATAGTTTTTAGGCAGAAGATGCCTGCCCCCACTCTCGCAGAGTCCCATCAGTCACACAGCAGAGCTGGTTGAGCACACAGCTGGGTGCCAGGCTGCCCCACCGTGAGCAATTTGGATTCTGGGTGTATTCCTCGCTGAAGACAATCTAAAAACGAGCTTTTATAACTTCTGCCCCTGTTTTGTAAAAGAAAAAAGTGTTTGGTTTCCTGAACTTTGTGAAATGAAGCTCACTGAGGGAGGGGGAATGTGTGAGTGTGGTTATGATTCCAAAATGACATTAAAATAACTCCTGTGTGTCACGGCACAGGAAGGTCTCTGGTTGTTCTCTTCTTCCATAGGTTGGATGTCAGGGCGAAGTTCTGTCCTATGAGAGTGGTGAGGTGCTGGAACAGCTGCCCAGAGAGGCTGTGATGCCCCGTCCATCCCTGGAGGTGTTCAAGGCCAGGTTGGATGGGGCCCTGGGCAGCCTGGGCTGCTGTGAAATGTGGAGGTTGGTGGCCCTGCGTGTGGCAGGGGGTTGGAGCTTTGTGATCCTCGAGGTCCCTTCCAAGCCAAACCATTCTGTGATTCTGTGTGCATCAGCCAACAGCATCTTATCATTTGCTCAGATGCTTTCTGTTCTTCCAGAGAGAGTCAAGGAAAATGAATGCATTAATTTACTGCTGTAATTAATCCTGTGCCTGACTGGAGTTGTGCATTGGCAGGAGCTGTGGTAACAGGCTGCTTGGTTTGTGCATAAATTCTAGCTGGAAATAAGGAGAGGCAAAGAGATAGAGGTGTTTTGCATGTTTCCTGTGCCTTGCCTGCTTTCTTGCTCATAGCCTGGGCTTTTCAATGCTTCCAAATGTCTGATCAGCACAGAAATTTGTGTTTTTGTGTGTGTTACACTGGAAGAAGCCTGGAAGATGTCAGAAAAAAACCCTCTGATATGTCTGTAAGGCTAATGAGAACAGCAGGAGCCGTAAGCCCTGATTCATTTGGGACGAGTTTGGGCAGCATGCTGTACCGTGTTGCAGAACTGCACGTCTTGGGTAGGTGCAGGAGCAGAGATTTCACAGGAGCAGCTCATTTTCCTTTCTGTGGTGTCAACTTTGAAGATGTGAAACGGGTTCCTTCCAAGATGAAGGGGCTGCCATGCAGTGCTGCGCATTTCCATTCCAAATCACTCAGGTTCAAGACCTGCAGTACATGGGGTTTCAAGCAGAGCTCTGGGGGTTGTCTAAAGAATTAGTCTAGTCAGCTTGAGGCCATCCCTAGGGGAAATTAGCTGAAGAGCAACATGCTTGTTTTAACTCATGGTAGTAGTAGATACATGGGTAAATGTGGTGATAAAGTTTGTGGCTTTTTTGAATGAAGTCAAGCGTTGCAAATCTATTCATCCTCAATACGGGACTCAGCAGCCATGCAGAGAGGTGATCTGTTGTCCAGCTTGCTCAGATTTCCCAGTTGTGGTTAATGAAGTTTCTTACCTGTGGCTCTTGCAGCTGTAATGTGCTGGTGGCCTTGGTGTGGATCAATGATTTGCTAAAGAGAAGCAGCTGGTTCCATGGTGAGGGCACAGGCAGTGAGGGGAGGAGGAGCTGTGTCCTTCTTCCCAAAAGGGGTAGGAGAAATTGCTGTGAGCAGCAGTGCTGCTGAGTTCCTCGTGCTGCACACAGGGGGTGGGGAACCTCCTGGCTTCTGGGGGCCCCAAAAGTTCCCCTGAGTTCTGTGCATCTGCATGGAAAACAAATCAATGGGGAGAATGATGACAAGAAGCCCAGCTGTGGATAAAGAGGCCTCTGCACCACAAATGTGTAAGGCTTGGGAATTTGGGGTGGTGGCAGTTGTTAGTGCTGACTGCTTCCTTCAGTCCCCCTTCGTATCTACAGTCATCTGATTGATGCTGGAGGCACCAGGCTGGACTGGTTCAAGATTTGCTCCCCCCTCTTCCATCCTTGACTTTTAGTTTGTTAACGGTGCTGCTCTTTCCTCCTCTCTTTTTGTCCCTCAGAGCTTTGTCCTGCCCTAAGAGCTGCAGAGCATGGGGCAGCCTGCAGGGCAGCTCGGTGTGATCCTGTGCTGGTTCACATGTGCCCACTGGTGTGCCAGGAGCATTTGTCCATCCTGCCTGACTTCAGAGGAGCAGGTACTGATGTCTGACGTGGTCCTGGCTCATGGCTTGGAGGCAGCACTGTGCCAGCTGAGCTTGAAATCAGAAATCAGTCCCGAGGCTTACCAACTGCCACGGGCTGATTGAGCTCACAGCGTGATACTCCTTTGGTAAGGCTTAGAAATGTAGAAAGTAAGGAGGGTAAACTTTCCCTATTAATGTTCTTAAACTCTTTAATTATGTGCTGCTCCGTGCATGGGTGAAAAGCAGACTTGCTGCCAATAAGAAGTGCATTTTGCAGGTGATAGAATTAAACTTCTTTTTCTCCTGCAGAAGCATTTTGTTTTTCCTTAGGAGAAGTGAGTCTGCCTTGACGTTACGCTTCTATAAAGGAAAATGCCTGAGTTGTATTCTGTGTGTAACTCTTCTCTGTTGGGTGACTCACTCGTGGCTGAAGTGTGAGCACAGAGCCCATCTTGTCATCCCACCTCGCTCCCTGGTTCTGTTGTTTGACAGCTCCCCTTGCCACTTGGCTTTGCTGTTCAGGATTTTGCTCATTTCACTGCACCCTTGAGGAGCTGGGTCAGCTCTGAGACACCACCTTCTACAACTACCCCTATCTTTCCTTCTCCATCTGATACCACCTGGTGGTGTAAATGGAGGTGCCACCACTGTTTGTGTTGGAGGGAGGGTTGGTGGTACGTTCATGCAGTCTTTCAACACATCACCACCGCATCCCTCAGTGCCACATGTCCACGGATCTCCATGGATGGTGACACCTCCACCTCCTTGGGCAGAGGTGCCACTGCCTCTTAGATGACATTTTTCCTAACACCCAACCTGAAATGACGGTGGGGAGAAGGAGAGAGGAGGAACAGGACAGTGGGATGCAAGTGGAAGATGATGCCCATATCCCTGCTTTCAGTAACCTGAAGAATTTGAGTTTATCTTGGTGAAGGCCCACCTGACTCTCTGCTTTTTTCCCTCAAATCACTTGAACGTGTGTTCTTACAGATGCTATTTCTGTTCATTTGTCCCCAACCTTTTCTTCCTGAGTCTTTATATCCTCCTCTTTCAGCTGCAGAGATGGGTTTTTAGTGGATCGCATTCTCCAGTCCCCTCATTCTCCAAAGGGAGCAAGACAGTTGTCTACCATTGCATTCTACCATTGCATTCTGCATTGCATTGTCTACCATTGCAATGCTTCTGAGGCTTCTTGTACTCTGCAGCTAAAAACAACTTGAAGGAAACTCTACATTCCCTAAACTGCCATCACTGCGTCAGCTGCTGGCCTTTATTAGGCACTCCTGATGAATGGGAGCTACGAGTTCACAGCAATATTTCTCCTTCAAAAGGTCTGAATGCAGCCTTCTGATGTCTTCCCTGTCCATCTGCTGCTGGTGGCTCATGAGTCATAGTGCCAGCTATGTTTAGCTTCATCGCCATGCGCTGCAGGTGGTAAATTACAGCTTGCTTTTCTTGGTCTCTGGCTGCTGGAGGGCAGTCTTGGTGAACCTGAAAGAGGTGTACTCAAAAGGCACACAGGAGGAGAAAGCTCTTCAAGAAAACCACGGTGCTTGCCATCACACTGTGTTTGATTTGGGAGGGTTTATCAGGTGTCTCACAGAACTTGGCAGCGTGATACGGGATTGTGGAGGTTCAAAATGCAAAGTACTGCATATTGATGCTGGCCTGAAGAATGAAAACACATTTGGGTTTGACTTCAGTGACAGCAAGGCACGGCTTGCTGCCTGCCAGCATTCTCTCAGGTGGATCCACCTCTCATCCCAGTCAGCATGGCTCTCCTTTCCCCTGCAGTAACAGGAGCCAGCCCCCAGGACTGCTGCTTGTGTTGGACCAGTGGCTGATTTATTCCAGTGTGGAGCAGTGGCTCACGTGTGCTTGGCAGTGTCTTGCTGGATGGGAAGAGCAGCAGCTCGTGTCAGCTCAGTGTGGTTGCTGAGCATTAGTTTGCCCTGGGATCTCTGCTGTGTAGAGGATTCTGGTTTGAAAATACAACGGCTTGGGAGAATGTGGCCTGGAATGAACTGCAGTTGTCCACATCTGTTCATAGTTCACCTGATCTATCATCACCTGTCCTTCCTGCCACTGCCTTCTGTCCTACCCTTGTCTTTTATATCCTTAATGCCTTTTTCCTTGCCTTCAGCTCTCTCCATTCTTTTCCCCCTCCTGTTGTCTTTGAATGACAGTAACCTATGTATCACTCACAGCTTTGCAAAGCACAGTATGCACCTTCATGTCCAAATGGCATTTCTGTCCATTTTTCTAGGCTCTGTCTTTGATCCAAACTTAGGATGAAATGTAACTTTGGCAATTTGTGCCCTTCACTTTCCACCTGGGCTCCTTTGCACCCTGCATTCACCTGGTCTGTGGCTGCTTGT